CCTTTCCAACCTAGTGATTCTGTGAATACCTATTACTATAGATATCCTTTGTAAATCATAACGTAACTGTCCATTCCCCAAGGTCCTGTAAAAGGTCCCCTAAATTCTAATTTACTGTTAAAATTACATGCTGTAGTATTTCCTCTCATCTTGCTAGGTACGTAGTGTATAAAGCTTAGTGAAGTGCTGCCGCTCCAGCTCATCTTGCTTATACTAACATAAATTGGAGAACACCTGAGAGAGAAGGTTGCCAGGTGGAAGAGATTTGCATGCTGCTGTGTTCTGAAGACACTTCATCTTGACAAACACCTTTACCCCTTCTTTAAGTAAGCCCACAACAAAAGATGCAAGCCGTTAACTCATGATAAACCATCGACAGGCAGTCTTGTTTTTTCCTAAGACAAGCAATAATTTCATACAACCCTCCCAAAGGCTGCATCAGCCCTGTATGCTTACAGCATTGTGGAAGTGCAAGGTAAAAGTGAGAAGGAAATCCAGGCTGCAGATAGCAGACGTTCAGAATAAAAATGTCACACAACACAATTGTTTGGGTTTTGTGCCAAGATGTTCTCTGTCTACAGTTTATACTTCTGTAAGAACTGAGGAGCACCACACTGGAACAGCTGAAGTACTATTGACGGCCAATAGGAAAAAACTCCCGATGACCTTTATTCATAAGACATATTCTTTCCTGTTCCAGAAATGAAACCTAAATAAACTCAAATATCCACAAAGAATGTGCTGGTTACACAGGGTATTGAGCCCTATGTAAACCCCAAACAACTCATGAAAACCATGGCTCTTTGTTTATGCTTTTTGCAAAGCTCATTTCCTGCTCTGCCACTGATCCTCTGTGCATTCATTTCCAGTGCTATTACACTAGCCAGCAAAAAGAGTTAAGATCAGGATCCATGCATTCTCATTATCCTATATACCAACCTGCATGTCTGTCTGCTTTAATCTGATGAATAGCTCTCTGCAATAAAGGTAGCAAATACAAAGGAGAAAGGAGGTGGCTTACATCCTCCCTCATTCCAATTCAAAAGGCACAAAAAAAATTACCTAATCCATATGGAATTCATATTCAGTAGTCAAACTACTTGTACAGATGCGTAGCTGAAGTATAATTAACATAATATCTGTGTGTATACATATCTATCTATGTATCTCAAACTTTGGTGAGTCACGGCATCATAGGAAAAGACTGGGTGCATTTAATGAAGAATTACCCCCCAAAAGACAATCTATAAAAAAAGGCTAGTCATACTTTGAGGAGATTAAGAATCTTACTGATTCCCAGATGTTGCTAATCCTTTATAAATTAATGAGGTAATCATTGTTATGTTCATACAAAGTCAGCAAATACTTCTAATTGTTAGACAGTGAAAAAGACCTTAATGCCAAAAAATCCAAACCTTCACACTTAAAAAAAAATAATTCTTAGGATCTACATTGTTTTCCTTCAAAAGCTTACTTTTTGGAGAAACTGCAGCCCACTGTGTAGTTGTAATTGTGTGCCTTATATAACTACCATTTTGCATGCATCTCCATATGGAAGCAAGCCCTCCTACCTTTCCGCTCTTAATTCTTTGCGATAGAGCTGCAAATCGCTGGTTGAGCTCTGACAGTTTAGGCTCTATTACTTTCCTGCAGTGATCTCCACGGTTTGTCATCAAGTCAACTGCCTGGTCACGCACAGAGTCCACCTTTGGATGCATATCATTCAGCTCAGCCTTTAAGCGCTACAGTCCGTGAGCAAGAGACAGGGCTTGAAGTTAGTAATAAATGCAAAGAGAGAGAAAGAGAGAGAGAGAGAGAGAGTGTGCAAAGGAATAGGGAGCAAAACCACAAAGCAAATTCAGATAAGTATGCATGAATGTGTAAATCTAGTAGAAATACATTAGATAACATTCCCACTCTTATCCCTCAAATTTATAGTAGGAATGTATCTGCATGTCTGTTTTAATATCTCCTAGAGGAAATTAATGGTGAACATTATTTCTAGGCAGGTTCTTATCTGCAGTAATACAATCCTCAGCATATTTCAGGATACTAATGCTAATTTATTTTATGTTCCTAAAGCTAAGAAGAGCTGTTAATTCATGTATTACGGAACTGAATGCATAGTTGTTGCTTTCATTACTCTCCATGCCCATAGTTGAGGCAGGGAAAAATGACCAGATGAAAACCAGTGGGTATTTTTTTCTATAAATCTACCACAAATTACAAAAAACCTGAGGGCACATGACGCCTTCCTCTGCAAAAGTAACCTTAACACTAGACACCAGTATGGGCAGAGGGTGAAAAAGATAGCCAGGCATTCAGGAACCATAAGCACAGATGGGCATTAAGGATTACATTTCACTGTCCGTATGAAATGCCTTTGTGCAATACAAATATGTACTTGTATTGATGGCAAAGATCATTGTACTTTGTACCTGATGGTGGCAGAATTGTTCATTCAACTACAAAATTCTGTCCTGCAATCCTGCGGAGATCAATGAGGCATTGATTTATGCTCTGCCTTGGAATTTGTATAACGTTTTGCTTTAGTAAATAGTGTCATTATGTTAGTGTCAGCAATACAATTCTGACTTTGAGTTGCAAACTCTTCCTCAGATAGTATGTTCTGACCATGGAGTTCAATACAAAGTAAAGCTTCACACCAATTATAGAAGAAAAAAAAAAAATCCATATAGATTATAATTTGAAGTTGCTTGATCTTAACAAAGAAGGTATTTTAAATGAGATACTTCAAAATTCATATTTATCTTGCAAGATAATTTTTCACTGGTTGGTCAAATGATGCAATAGGCCAAATAAAACCTTCTGATCAATACACTAACCCATTATTATACAGCTACTTTACCATATAATACTCTCTGTGGTGCTGGTCTGGCATCAACACAAACAGTGTTTATAGAATTAAAACAATCATATGACAGAGATAACAAATGCAGATACCATAGATATCAGAAAAGTATCACAGAAAAACAGGAAAGCAATTAAAAATGAAGAACACAGAAAAAAAAGGTTTTTGTTCAACCAGATGTGTTTAAGGAGTTTATTCCAGCAAACCAGGACACACAGGTTTAATAAGATGCTGTTCTACTCACCAGGAATCCCCCAAGACTTATAACGTATCTGGTTTTATTTCTGTAGGGATTTAACTTTTGTAATGCAGTGCAAATTTATTAAGTAATCTAAAAGCTGCCAGTGGGTAGCTTTATCACAGGAAAAAGAATCTTAATCATTAATTTGTGATACATTTCAAAATATGCTAGTTTTGACACAGTCCTTTTTAGAATAAAATTAATGTTTTCCAGAAAATCACATTTTTTTTACCTTAAGAATTTCCTCTTTTTGCTGGGGTTTTTGTTTATCAGATTCATCCAACAGTATTTCAGCACGATACATCCAAGTTGTGACATTAGCTACATTCTGATCAAAAGCGTCCATGTGCTTTTGATATTCCTGTATGTGGAAAAGGTAAATACTACATACAAAAAGTAATCAGAACTGAAATAATAGCTGTAATTATGCCAACTGTGGCAAACATGCATACATTATGAAATTAAGCTTGTTTATTTTACATAGAAACTGCTTGTTTTTTGAAGGATAGAATCTGTTGTTTGTTTGCTCTCATTTTATATGTTAAGTTTCTTTAAAAAGACATTCTGGGAGAGAGAGAAGCTTCCAAAGTGACAGGCAGGAGGGTAATAAAGTCATAGCAAGACGCAGGTGTGTGCAGCTCAGCCAGACTGCTGAGTGGAACAGGAAGCTGAAGCCAGACCTAGTGGAGGTAGACAGAAGAGTTTCCCAAGAACTAGGTACAGAACTTGTTTTGGAAAGCCAGTAAGTTGACTGAAACTCAGGTAGTAACAAGGATGCACTCGCAAAGTCACAATCAAGAACGGGAGCTTTGTGTAAAAAACTAATTTACATTTCACCTAACTTCCCTGCTTTGAGACTCTACTTTTCAAAAAGCTATTCTGGTTGATCTTCTGATAAAACTTTTTTCTCTCCTTAATTTAAAAGCATTTTATCTTTTTTAGTGAGCTCACTAGAATGAGGCCTGTTCGTGTCCACACAATACATATAGGTACCACACACCTGAGATCAAATATTTTACTAGTCCTTTTGGCCGCCACATGTATGTACCGTTACTTTACATTGTTCTAAAAATCAGTAAAAGACTGAATCCCTCTCTTATACCTTTTAATCATGGTTCTATTAAATATTGACAAGAGTCCAAAGCAAAGAAAGAGAGGAAGTAGAGGAATACATAACTATACCAGTCTATAAACTCCATTATATATTTCTTATAATCAGTTCCACATTGAGCACCCATGTCATACTGAATGAAATGCTCAGGTTTTCCAGATAGGGTAGACACAACCAGGTGCTTTCACTTGTATACCGCATACAGCCGAAGCAGCCCTGTAGTGATGCTATATATTTGTCACAGAAGCATTTGTAATGTAGCCACACAGACTCTAGTGGAGCTCTAACACATCAAGCTCCAAAAAATCATGATGAAGGCTAATGTTGAGAATTTTTTAACTTTTTCTGGATCAAAACTGCATTCACATGCTCTCAGCAACAGAAACAGCATACAAGATTTCCCAAAGCATTCTGGCAGCACAATGGTTAAGATCCTCTGTATTTAAGGGTTCAAACTGTCGCCTCTTCATGACAGAATGAATTTTAAGGGAGAATATAGTTATGTATCTATCAGCAGTTTGAATAAGCTGGGAACGAGGCTCCTGAATCTGCATTAATTATGCATTAGGGATAATCTGGTCCCCCTAAGTAATTTTCCCCACCAAAACATGCACTATAAAACTATCCAAAGGAGGACCATGAAGTCTTGAAAGACCAAATCATAGTCCTTGAGTATATTAGATGCGCACCTGGATTTAGTTGCCTCTGAAATTAACCTAGTTCACACACCCCAAAACTACCCTGTGGACCAAACCAACATGCAATTGGGGACTTACCTCCCAACTGTACTATTCCAAACAGAAATGTTAATGTAGACAAAAGCAGCTGAGGTTGTTGGTATTAATACCAAGACTTACTCAACTTATTTTACTATTTCTTTTACCTGATTCCTATTCAAGTAGTCTAGGTCCTTGGGGAAAAACTGCATTTCATTCATTAGGGAAAAAAAAAACCCAAACGATCCAGGAATTACTAAGGCAGACAGGAACGGGAAGCGCTAACAATCAAGACTCCACAGAGCCGTCGCTCTGTAAGCAATCAGATTCTGAAAATATACATAATGTACTAAACAACAATCAATCTGATTGCCTATGTACCTATGTATTCAATAAGTGTAGTCCAGGGCACCAGAAAAAGCACGTATAGGAGTGAGTACCTACAACTGGGCACCAACATTTCCTCTATATGAACAAATGCACTTTCCTTACCAGTAACAGATTGAACCATTCCTCAGCGCGTGAAGTTACTGCTATCCAATTACTGTTCAGGAGGCTGAGTTTATCCTCCACTAGACTTTCCTTTCCTTTCAGCACTGTCTTCAAATTCTCTCCTAAATCACCAATGTTCTTAAGATGGACCTGGCGTTTCTCAATCTCCTTCCGTGTTGCCTATGTGAGCAGAATAAAAAGAAAAGTTCAGGAAATTAAAAATTCTCCACACTAAGAACATGAAATATTAAAACATCCAGTAAGTTCATACTAGAACACACACTCTTGCTTTCTATAGGAAGGGAAAATGTTATGTAAAGAACAGTGAGTAAAAAGTAAATTTTTCCTCTTTAGTTCTGATAAAATTGTTAAATGTTCTTCATAGTCTCACAATCAGTTTTGGTAGTAATTTAATTTTAAAAAGTGTGAATTATCTCTCATTCCAGTGGTCAAAACACAGTTTTAGCTATTAAACAAGAATTCACATTTTACAATATTTATATTGAGATGTTTAAAGTTACTTTGCATAGTTATCAAATAGCACATAAAGCTTACATAATAAATGGGACAATAATAAAGCATCATGATGACATCTTAAGACGTAGAGAACTCCACTGAATATAACCTTGTGAAATATTTTAATATTCCTTTAATATTTTTTAATGCAATCTTTTTCAGCGGAAACCGTGTTCTTCTATCCTGTTAGCTTTCTTGTTACCTAACTGTAGAAATGCATCCTTTCATTCCATTCATTTGGAATTTCACTCTGCAAACTAAAATACTAAAATAAGCTATTATCCATAGCACCTCTAATCTTGAATGACTAAAGTACCTGTGCAGTGCTACAGAATCAGATTTCCAGCATCTCCTCCAGCTATTATCTTACCTTATATAAATAGATTTAAATTATATGTAAGGTCACATAATTTATTCATTATTCATTTCAATATTCTTTGCAACATGCAAGAAGTCTAACAAAAAGAACAAACCCCAACATATTTAGAAAACGTGAAAAAGCAGGAATTTAATACTAAATACTGAAATGTTACAATGCAGAGTGTAACAACCTTGCTGAATACTCAAAGAGGGGCACAAATTCCTTACACCTAATATCACATATAAACGGTTTTATGGGAAAAATTTATCTGAGCTCCTAGTCACCTGATGGCAATGATCCAGGCATATATGATCTCTGCTTATAAAATAATGCTTCAACTAGAAATGAAGTTGTCCTAACTGAACACAAACAGAAGTTGGGAGAAAAGTAAGAATCAGTAGTCTCCAGAGACATTGATTTCTCATAGATACCCTAGAAGAAGAACCACTTCTAATCAAACTGTAATCACAGTTCTTCCATCTGAGGTTCAACACTGTTACTGCAGTGGAACTACACCTTCATCACCTCCATGCTATCACATCTCTCAAGGTTACACATCAGTATGATTTTGTTGATAATATGTTGTTAGAGAAGGTAAAATTTTCAGTTTGCAATAAAGACAGCATATAAACTATTCTTTTTGGTACAACACAATCTTAATAGTTCCTCCAACTTACTTGGCATATGTAACGCTTAAAGCAGCAGCTCACTTCCTATGCTTAACAGAATTAATGATCTCATTCTGTAGTGTTATTTCACAGAAAAGGTTTTGCACTTGTATTTCATGTAAGTATGAGAAATTTTCCACAATTTACCAATTTTCTCAAATACAGAAGATTTGTAATAGAACCAAGACATGAATAATGCAAATTATTAACTATAAACTACAAAATTATAGAATTTGAAATGGAACTTTTCAAACTTCAACAGGTACTTGTCAGATTAGAGGAAAAACATGCCCTCTTCTAGTACAATTTTATCTGTTTCATAGCGGGTACAAAATGTCACAGAATCACACAGAATCACAGAATCATTAAGGTTGGAAAGGACCTTCAAGATCATCAAGTCCAACCGTTAACCCAACATCACCATGCCCCCTAAACCATGTCCTGAAGCACCACATCCACATGTTTTTTGAATACTTAAATGTTTATACTTAAATACTTAATGTCATTATAAAATTAGACAATGTAATTTGTCTCCAACTCAAGACAGAAAATTTTGATCAGTTTTTTTACATTTTCTGAACAATTTACTTCCATTTGGAAAAAAATTGCTAAAGCATATTTGCTATGGGTTGTTGTTTCCTTTGTATCTTACATGTGTGAAAACTCAGACCAGTCTTGGGCTATATATAGAAATATTAAGCCCAACTAGAAATGTAAACAGATGGATCAGATGATTAAATGACTATTAAATAAAACTGCTACCCAAAAGCCAGATGTATAATTCCCAATGTGTAACAAAAAGTGTAACAGCACTTTGTCTGATCCCAGGAGTTGTTCCTTTCAAAGTAAAGACATAATGTAAACCAAAGATTGGGTGCACCTCTGGGCAATATGAATATGAACAGTCCTGTGCACATTAATAAGTAAATAATCACATTTCGTCCCCTCTGCCTTCTTAAAAAAAAAACAACATTGAGGCCTTCAACACAACAGCAAAGTTGAAAAGTCTGCAATACTTCAAATCTCAATTATTCAAACTTCCTATGTGTAAAATCCTGGACCCACTGAATATAGTTGAAAACCTAGTGGGGTTTGTAAAGACAGCAGGATTCCACATTACATTATCAGCTAGGACCTCCTCTGTGTGATATGATGCTTACTAGGTAAAGTAAACTAACTAAACTAAACTAAATGGTTAAAGTAAACTAGTAAACTAACAACTTCTTTTCAGTTCTTTTGCAACTTCGAGAACATATTTTTAAAATTTATTTTATTTTGCATTTCTTCATTATATTCTTCAGAATTCTCTTTCTCTTTTCACTATTACTAGGCAGTGACGGTCTACATATACTTCATCCATTGCAATGTAACAGATACCATTGGTAAATTTTCTGTAATAAGACAGAAGGACTGCTATTAATTTAACAACACTATATAAAATAGATAGAAAATGTGTCATGATCTCAGGATGTAACTAGGATTACCTCATTAAAACTCAGGGAGTGGCTTTCAAAATCTGCTAATTTTTGAAGAGCAAGTTCCAATATTCAGTGAATTGGCCTTCACTTATCACCTTTCCCTTTATGTTCTTGGGAAATAGAAGAGCATATTCAAAATTAAGGGAAAAAACCCAGACTTGCTGGATTTAAACACCCTTCCGGTTGCCCTAACATCAGATTGCATTTCAGCTGTGCAACTTATTTGAAAATATGTAAGAAAGAGGTAGAATTTTAATTTTAACTACAGAATCAAAAGTGTTAGCCGTGTAATTTAAGAATTACATTTAAAAGAGAGAAATATGTAAATTAAAGGTTGAACTAAGCACTATAACAGCCAGAATTCAGTTGCAGCTGAGAAAATTTCTCAGCAATGTTCAACAGTGTTTTAAAACAGATTCAGTTAGCTTTGCTATTATCATTATAGTGAGATTATTACACTCACTTTTTTTTCTTTAGAACTAGTATATTTATTTATAAAAGAAAAGTTTATTCAAGTGTGTATTACCTGCTGGAAGACAAAGGTTCCACAAATACTTCCAGGAGAGACAGCTCCATTAAAATTTGTATACAAATTACAGAGATTACATTAAGTAGATAGATAGATAGATAGATAGATAGATAGATAGATAGATAGATATGGTCATCTCTTCTTTACATATGCCTCCATGTAGGATACAAGACTTAACAAAGATGGCAATCTCTCCATTCAAATGTTTGTTCAAATTTCTGTTAGACAGAATTCTGAAATGTCTCTTTGGAAGAAAGTCTTGTACTTCCCCTTGTTTGAAGTACCAGTTATGGCTATTTGGTGCAAGATACCACAGTGGAAAGTCTTTGATCCAAAAAATTCCTTTGTATTTCACTGAATGAAATCTTTCCTTAGCTGCTTTTATTCTAGAAGAATCATCATGCTTCTCTCACTTGTGTTTCTCAGAAAAATGCTGGTAGTGTGCCCTAATCAAGACTGGGAGATACGTCACCACTGAACCCCAAAGACCCAAACATTTCAAGAGAAATGGCATCTAGGTTCCTGGCACCCCAGAAATGAAAGCAATTAGACAGATCCTTCTTCTCTGTTAAAACTCTGCATGCAAAGCATGCCTCAGGTGACCAGTGTCTAATCCCATCCTGTTCGCACCAGAAGGAGGAGATGGAGGGAGAGAGAAAACCAGCTGAGCTTCCCTGACACCAGTCACTATCATTGAAAGAAGTTGTAGTGTAAGATAAAAGTTTTATTTAAGAAAAACTACTTTGGATGGCTTGAAACCTGGGCAGAAGCCTGATTGCTCTGCAGTGTTGAAAGGCATGGGAACAAGCTTTACTGAGATTTCATAAGAGGGTTGTAGGGTCATACAATCGTATTTTGTCTATTTTTTTTATATGGATCCATAGGATGACAGGATGATCATGTTAGCATAAATAAATGCAGTTCCCTGTGCAGCCATGTACACTTTGAGTGGGGTTCACAGCTCGCTCTCCGACCCACTCTACTGTGGCATACTCTATCTTTCCGTTTACTAACAAGTACTACTGTTTCTGTTTTGGTTTTTTTTTACTTGATGTTCCATACGGGAATGAAAATTATAACCTCCTTCACATAAACAAATACTAAGTAGGAATGAATTATGTTTGAACACAAGCTACATACGAATGGCTTTTTCGGAGGACATGGTGCAGGGGGTTTCTGAGCTATACTTTATAATGATAAAATTACCATGTATCAACTTGAACTGCTGACTTTTTTCCAAACAAACCAGAACAGTGACTAAATGCAGAGGATAATATTTTAATTGTGCTGCTCATTAACATATGTAGATTAAAAAAAATTCAACACCAATGAATGAATGAAGAAAAGTTCTGTGTGCCTCCATACTGCCTGGACACTGTGGATTACTTGAAAGTAATATTTGCAATTTGAACCTCTCTAAAAGAAATTAGTTAGGTGGCTCAGCTCTCATGGGTGGGATTACAGAATTAATCAGAAGCTGACATTATGGCCTTCTCAGTGGCTGATTATACATATTTATTTGTTTATTCACAGCACATCTTTTATTTTTATTGTCTTCTGGCCACTGACTATGAATCAGTTGACACAATTTTCAGATTATTTTCTTTTACTGATTTTACTGACAGGAAACATGTTGCTAAATGTGTTAGCTAATGTAATTTTAAGTACTTCAAGTCGACTTCATGCTCACTGGTATTATACACTGTGCTAAAATATAACATTAAAGCACTGGCAGACTCATACTGCTGATAGTAGGGAGTGACACAGAACTTTTTCTGGTAATACCATCTGCTATTTCCTTTTTGAGAACATGGTTTCCTGGCAATGTAATTCTTACCAGGCCAGTTCCTGATTAAAAGGCAAATACATCCCGCAATGGTTAGTGTCTTCAATGATAAATATGTTCACTAAATCTGACTTCTAATTATAAATGGATTTTTAATATACAATGTTTAATGATTGACTATCCATCCATATGTCATTTTTCTTATCTATTATAAGACAACTAAATTCAAATGGAAAGATTTATCTTGTCTCTAGTGAGTAAAAAGGCAGGATTTACAGTCTTCAGCATATTGCCCATCTCATTTCACATAACTCAGCCAGGTTCCTGTTTCATCCTTAGAAAAATTCTAGACACTAACAAATAAATAACACACTTCCCTTCATGTCCAGATTAATGCTATGTTTCATTTACATAATTTTCTACTCACGGTGGACATTTCTTTTTATTTCTAGGTGTTTATACCTTGATGACATGTTTGTACGTATGATTTCTTTATTCTAACCTCTACAATTACCTTTGAAACCCTCTGAGTGTTTTTCACTTTTAAGAAGACTTGAGTACTGAAAAAAGAAATAGAAATAAGTGCAGTAATACATATAGCTGCTTCCTTGGGCTGTAAAGAAAAAAATATTATGAGCTCTCTGCTTAGTTATATCGACAGCAGCACACATCCAATTTTCGGTTCATTCTCACTATTCGCACTATTCCCTCCATTTTCCATCTTAGTTTTTCTGCAGACTTTCCTCACAATGGGAATCTGCTGAGCTTAATTCATCTCCCGGTGCATTTCATTAGATCGGTTACTGTCTTTGGCAGCCTACTTACCCGGGAAGTCCAAAGCCCAAAGTTGAGACATTAATCAGGTATTACGAGGCCCTGGTTCTGGGGACTGAATTATTGGTATACGATTTTGTATGATGCCTCAGTGAAATTCACATGGAAGTATCAGTGTCATATTTATTCATGAATTCCTCACAAGAATTTTAAAGTGTCCAGGATAACATGCAGCAATTTCTGCCTTTAAGTGGGAACAGATTCTTTAGGAAAAAGTATACTCACTTCACATAATTTCTGCAAATACATACATTTGGAAGGCGAGGAACTGCCACCTATGCTATCTATTGGATTGCTCAAAATTAAAGGTCTACTTGTATTTATATGAATATTGATTTATATTTCCTAAAGAGAAACTTAATAAAGGAATTCTGAAAGCCACTCGCTCAGTACGTACATATTTCAACAAGAAGCAGCTGTTCTGATCCAAAGTTGTTTGTTTATTCTTATCTTAGGGATGTACTGACTTTAGAAGAACTGAGATATGATATGAGGTTAGAGAGCAGTGAAGGCTTTGGGCAGGATTTGAAGCCAAAATATGCTTTTTACAATTTTTTCCTGCAGTCCTTCATGTATCAGTTCCTTGTGAGAACTCACAATATTCAATGACATTTCTTTAAGATTAGTAGGTGGAGTGGTTCCCATTTGATATATTATTCATGTTAATATTTCCTATTTTAATTAGCTCTTGTTACCTTTTTTGATTGTCATAGGATAAAAATATGCTGTACTTGTTGTAGCAAGTGTAAGACATAACAAGGACTTCCCACTGTGTAACTCCACCGATCATCAGGATTTAGGTTCTAATTATGCAACTTCTGAAGCATTAAGGACATATCTAACAATTATATTATATTAAGGACAAATCTTTCTATTTAAACTGCTGTGAAGCTATACACACCTGGATTAACTTTCATGAACATGCATGCAGGAACATACAGCATACATTTCTGTTTCAGTAGAATTGTACTGTGTAGTTTAACACCACCAAAGAGGATTCTTATTTTCATGACTGGGTAAATGGACTGAGTAACTGGCAGGTTAGTTTGGGGGCATTAAAACCATATGATTATATAATGCATCTTTTAAGACATTTTAGTAAGCTCAGAAGCTTGAAAGGGGCAGTTAAAGAAAAAAAAAAAAAAAACCCAAAAAACCAAACCACAAACCAATTTTTACTCCAGTGCCTTTAATCTGCACAGCCTTTGAGAAAATTAATAAGATTGCCTCTGAAACTGGTAAAATGTTTAAAGGATTCTTCCTATTAAAAAAAGCAGAAGTGGTAAATTTTTGCACAAAACAATGTTTAAAGATTTTTTATAGTTTTATTTGGAATTTATATAGGAACACTTATCTAAAATGTTGCTGGCTGACATAATTATTTGAAATTCTGAAGCTTTCCATAATGTTGAGCATAGTTTCCTCTAAAACACAGATTTTGGTATGTGTTTACAATGATGACTTGGTTTGTTTATGCTGTGAGTTAGATTGGATTTTTATTGCATATGCAGAATATAAACCAGATTAGCTAGCGTTGAATGACACTCTGCTAAGAGTTAGCATCACACAGAGAAATGCAGTTTGATGTAGAACTCTTGCATTCCTCAGTGATTCTGTAAGATATTTATCTAAACTCTGGCACATGTAGTAATTTTGAAGAAAATTTTAATTTTAGGCTTTGAGTTTTAACATAAAATAAGAGTTCAAGATGAAGCCTTATGGAAGTAAGAAGCCCCCAGAATGAAAACAAATGAGCTACAAACCAAGAATGGTAAGAAAACAAATATCCTACCTCCTGGCTGCTACCTGAATACGTGGAATATATAGTGTTCTGACATCCTTAATCTTTCATCTACTGGAGATGTTTTACCGTTTAATACTTTTGTAATCATGAGAGAAATGGGATGAGAGAGAAAGAGTTCTCTATTTGCATGGATCTCTATTTACATGGATACTGGAGGTATAATTTATAGTACTGTGAAAAATGAAATTCTAAATTTAAATTAATCTGAGAGAAGATTACTGCAATATGAAGGTGAATTGTGCCAATGATATATGCAGAGACAAGACGGTTTGAAGTTTTCTGAGCATTAATATTAGGGTGAGTTAATGCCATAACAGTTACAAAGTTCCACTAATTAAAAAGAATTTTTATTCTCTTTCTTTTTCAAGAAAGATATCTGTCTTTCTGTAGTATGCGTAAACTGAGATATATAAAGGTACAGTGTGTGTTACATTGTTACCTTGCCCCAGGCAATTTCAGCATCCAAATTGCTAGGCATCCCCTGCACAGCTGATCTCTTTGTCAATTCTGCATCTGTCACTGCAAGCCATTCTGTCATAGCATTAATTTCTTTTCGTAGCTTCCGGGACAATTTCAAGCATTTCTCTAGCTCTTGCTTTTTTTCTGTCACCTGCAGAAAGAAAACATGTGTATTTTAACTCTTCAGTCAAACAGGTTTAATGATATTTAAATACCGTTTTCTATATGGCACTTTTCTATAAAAGTTTAACTTGCAATTTCACAAGATAAGTTGCATTTTTAATATAGTTATGTCTTGCCTTAGTTCTCTCAATATCTGTAATTTTGCTGCTAAAATACAAACACCTACAGAAAAATTATATGCATAAAGACACATTGAGTTTGAACTAGCAGCAGACCTCTGCAAACCTCCTCCTCTCTTTTGAAGTCATGCATAGCAAATTAATTTGGAACAACTGAATTAGCAGACTTTCCTTGAAACACAAAATAGATGTCAAAACCCTTCAAAGAGTGTATTTTCATATAGATGGTCATACAGAATCCTCAAATTGTTTTCTATGTAGCTATACTCCATAGAAGAAAAAAATTCTCTGCCAAGAGAATTCTGTCAAGAAACACCTAAATCTTGAAACACAGAAGTCACTGGATGATGTCAAACTAGGGAAGCACGGTTAACTTTAAGTTTTTAATTTGCTGAAAGTTTTGGACATGAAGTATTAAGGACAATCTCTGTTTTAATTGTTAAGTTCTTTTAAGCATATTACATGCTACCTGGAAGGAAGGCTGAGTATTTATGTTGTCTTGACTGTCTTACAATGCATTTTGGTGTAACCTGGAGGAATAGGGGAAATACGATCTTCCCTACAAGCCACTGAGTATATTCAGGGAGACAGAGAGAAAGTTCCGCATACTTAGTAGAGATGGCAGAAGAGTAAATGAAGAGTTCTTAGATGGGAATCTACACTACAATAGACATTAGGCAGCTAGTAATTAGAAAATACAAACTGATAAATTATGTTTTGCCGAAGTTAGAAAAAGCCTGATCAAAGAAAGTGGGTTAAAAGTATTCTGTAGGTCACTAATATTTGAAAGAAATAACTAATTACCTTGCATGTCAATTAGTAATCAAGTGAAACTGTAGCCACTGATTTTTATTTAAGTATTTTTAAATAGAAAAAAAATTGTCAACAGTAGTGTCAGATATCCAAAACTGGTGGCAGTATCTAGTAAAACAGTTTGAGTACAAGTAGTAGCACAATGATAAAATTGATTCCTAGCTCCACTGCCAAGGAGAGTTTGAGGTTTTAAAATGTAATAGGATGTTACGAGGTTAGGTACATGGCTTTTGCTATCCCTGAGTAAACACATCAGATTTGCTGAGGGAATAAGCAATAAAGTGTCCCTGATCGTATATTATCACTCTGTAGAGGCTTACCACTAAAATCTCAGAACATTTCTTCTTCACTGAATATGCTTTATGTGCTTTCTTGTATGCCAAATTTATTAAATGAGACCTCAGAACTTACAGTCAGGCCAAGAGGTAAATCCCTGGGAAGGACCTAAAACTCAGCTTTTTAGAGCTCCATTCACACATGGAGCCAGGAATTCACACATGTTTTTCACCTCTTCTTCTGATTAATAGTCATTGTGAATAACTATTTGCAGGTACTCAGCAGCAAAACAATGCAAAGTGCACTTCCCTAAGCATGTTTGCCTCTCTAAGAATTCTAAACATCTGGTATACTATAAAATGAAGTTAGGTACATGCCCAAACACAGAAAGAATATTTGTGTTGCTATACACATCTCTAAAATCTGTATATAATATCAATAATACTACAATACTTCTATATACATTGTGTATATCCAGAAGTTACTGATTAATCAGTTTCTGTTTGTACTTCAAACGTGAAGATGTATTTCTAAAGAAAAATAGGAAACAGTGCCCTCTGTAGTCCTTCTGTATCATAAAGTGATATCAAATGTACTATCTCCAAAATTGTCTCTGTATTTTAAAGCTATTTTAGCTATGTCAGATAGCTTTCTCGCAAGAATTCTTGGATGTAATAAAGAAAAGTAAAATGAGAAAAGCGGGTATTTAAAGCAAGAGAAAAGTATTTTGCAGCCTTTAATCTTGCAAAGATTCCTGTGCAGCAGCAGGATTCTGAGGAAAGACCTGACCTTGTAATAGCCCCTTCTGCATGCAGTGCCCTTAGAAGAGCAGCAAGAACATTATTACTGCCACTTTCTTTCAGAGTCCAGCTCCCTGTCCTGATGAATTATCCTAGAGAGATTTGACACAAATATGCTACAGACCTACCTCAAAACCACTCACAACTAACTGTAAGTGAAGCTGTAATACTGTTGCTTGCACATATATATAGTATATGTGCTTCTGTCAGAGAGAGAGAATATGGGCAAGTGAATGCATAAGCAAGCACAGGCATGGAATATCTATTATAAATGCAACACTACACCACGATATTCAAATGACATTTTGTTTTCTTCTAATTTAATCTCAAACCTATTTACACTGAGGCCACTGCTAAAGTTTCAAAATTATCGTCCATGCTTTTAAAGTATATTTGGCTAAAAACTCCATGGTTTGACAGAACAAAACTCACTCCTAGACGAGAGAGAGGTTTATGGTCTGATACTACCTATGCAATTAGGACTATTCACAGGTATTTATATCCATGTGTGTATATGCTAAAAAAAAGAAAGGAACAAATAAATAAAAAAACCCTCACACCTTCCACTTCTTCTTAAGGGGAAGACTTTCTAGACTCAAACAGTCTAAAGTTATAATACCTAAAACATGCAGAAAAAACAGAGTATGTACTGAAATTATCAGAAATTATAATAATTTTCCTGTCCATTTGAGAGCACAACACTTCAGCATTGTTCAACATGTTTAAATTAAACCATTCCATATGCTTGAAATGTGCTTAATGATTGTTTTAAATATGGGGGGACCTCCTGAAGCAGCATATGAAATCACACAAGTGAGTCTATGCTTGAAGGTGTGTTTTTCCCTCAGACTATACATTTCAGTCCTGAGACTTTCTATTAGTTATAACCATTATCAGTTTTCTCTTAAAAAGACTTTTACTCAATGCAATCAATTAGGGATGATAATGGATTTTGGATTTATTCTTTTAGTCCTAAATCTCTGGGCTTTTGTGAATCTCTCTAACACTGTTAACTACCATGGTATGTAAAAGTAAATGTAAGAGATTACATCTAGGACAACAAAGCTAAACACAGCACTGCTGACTTTTGGGACACATTAATTTGCAATATGGCTCATTTCAGATTACTAATGGCTTCCTAATGGCACATTTTTATCCCTTCATTAGTTAAGAGAGGTTTCCTATAACAATGGCACCTGTCTGCTGTTACATTAAACATGATGTAGGAATAAATGTTGCAGTCCTTTCTAAAATAATGGAGAAACCAAATATATGCTCTAATCTCAAATGATAGCTATCCACACCTTAATGAAGCAGACTCTTCAGTTTTCTTGACACTCAAAAGATTGATGTCTCTTAATACCTTTATTTTCTAGCAAGAGAGAGAACTGTTTTAATTCAGGTTCCCAAATGGGTATTATCTCTGTCAAAAGTAACATAACTCTTACTGGTTTATTGTACCATAGTCAGTGGGGCTTGATTGTCATTATGTGTTTAAACCACATACTGACTCTCAGAAAGTCAGTATTACTCAGTATTACTATGGGCTCATTTCCTTCCTAGTAACTATTTATTTATGTTTTTAATAATTTATAATCTGACAAAATGAAGAATTGCATTCTGTCCTGTTTCTTATGATGGAAGTGTATACATTTTGGAAATAAAGAGACAGCTATATCTGTCATCCACAATCTTCATTCAGCCAGTTATAGCACAAAATTTACTCTAGTCTTATAGTTTTCAGAATTTCTGTGCATAGTTCTAATGAGGGCAAGAGGAAGAAAACAGAGTAACGAAGGATAGTTGTTAATTGAACTATTTGTGTGAAGTTGTCTTTAGGTTGGTGCCACAACTCCTCTTCAGAGCCTTGCAGAGCATTGTACTTCAGGAGCAGGCAGCACACTCCACAGGTAATGCAGACCCAGAATAAAAAGCCTTCAGATATTGACATATGATTATTTTTTCAATCACAGTCTTGCTAATATTGGTTGGTAGTCTGTCTTTCCTACTGCCTGTTTAGTTGACATTTAGGAAAAAAAGAATAAACAAAACATTTTCCTGTTGGGAAATCCTGATGATTGCCTTTGCCTCCAATCCATTCTTTCTGTCCCACTGTTTAGAAAATGTAAGGTCCTTGAAAGAACCAATAAAACCCCCCATTTACTTACCACACGAAGATTAATCTTCACTTTACCAGTTAAAATGAGAGCATAGTTTTGTATTAAAGACACAGAGCTTACCTTTGCACCCAGTTCATTATATTGCAACTTCAAAGCCGTAAGCCTTTCATCCAGTTCTTTTGGGTTCTCTGTCTGCTGCTTTTGAACAATCTGCCTCCCAGTTTTTATCACTGTTTCCACTTCAGACTTCACCTCACTCAGGCTTTTATATAATTTCTAATAAAATAGAAATATGAAAATGAAGCACCACCATTAAAATACGTAAAACAGAAAAGTCTATTGAAGTTATGAAGGCGCACTAGAAGTCTTTGCATTGTTTCCAAACACCACCATGAATGACTCTGAGCACCTTCCACTCGCATTTGAAAGCTAAAGGAGTTGAGAGGTACCATGGTATGTGAGCTAAGGATAGAGAAAACTCCCTCTGAGCTTGTGCGTGTATTTAACAAAGGAAAATTCAACAGTTTCTATACGACAATTCAAATTAACAGATTCAGAACAGCCCATCTTTCCTAAATTGGCTTCAAAGACTTATCACCAAAACCAATGGTAGAAATGTTATAGGTAAGAAAGTACACGCCATCACTAAGTGTTTTAAGATATGACAAAAGTTGTTTTCAAACTGATTTATATAACACAGTATTTAAAGTAACAGGTGTCTTTCGTCAACTCATACAGCTTGTTGGATGTATTACAGCTACAAATAGCCACTGAAATAATTTAAAAATCTGACAGTTTTTCATAGCACTAAATGAAGAGACTGATAGGATAGAGGATTTCCCCTACATTTGCTAAGTGTAATTCTGTTAAAAAAATAAATAATTTAAAAAATACATAAAAAGTAACATAATGAGGTTGTCAAAATATTATATAATTCACTACATTTTCCTGCACTATTTCAATGGCTAAGCAAAGAATAAGCGATAAACAGCTGTTCAGTAAGTGATGGCATGCAAGCAATCTGCAAACACAACACATTTCCCTAATTTTTCAAATGAGCGATACTAAGAAAAACTTTCTTTCCATATGCAGAAAGTCGATATCATCATCTAAATGTATGACTAGGTAATTCAAGACGTTTAACAGACACATAAATGCCCAATTAATATTCATGCAAATAGCGCAGAAGTTGAATTTATTTTTCTTTTTAATCTAAGAATAAATTCTGCCATGGCTTGGAAATTCCACTGAACTCCACAGTGGAAAAAGACTCCACAGAGATACACAGTGTCCATTACCACACAAGTACATGAAGAGTGGCAAACATGAAGCTGTTGAGAAGCTTTTTTGTTTAGACGTCTAGCTCAGATAATCTCTTAGAAGCATGGGATGCTAATGAAATGAGTGAAAATTTTTGAAAATATGGGTTAGAATAAACTTGTGCAACATCTCTTTTGGTTACATCATGGGGTTCCATGACCATAGCGTATTGTGGAAAACAGAGCCAATCCAGGGAAATAAACTCATATGCAAGATGGGAAGGGGGGCAATAGAAAGTGATCCCAACTGGCCTTTTCACATAGTGAAAGTGCATGACCATTATTTGAAATTTCACTTAAATTAAAATGTTTTGGTTTTTTTCTTCTAATTTTTTGGGTAACTGATACTTTGTTTCTGAACCTGAATTCAGGACAACATTCTGTAATTTTTAGCTTTCTCCATATAAATCCATATTTTCAAAATTTTTCACTCATTTCATTAGCATCCCATGCTTCTGAGGTATTTTCTGAGAGATCTTTGCATGACAGAAGAAGAGAACAACATGTAGAAAGGAAAAAGTTACTGTAAGACTGTTAGAACTGTTTCACTGTGTTGTTATATCCTGGGAAATGTTGAAATTGAATACAGTCTTAAGTGTACAATGTCCTCCTAACCTCATCTGCAAACAAGAGAAGTAGGACAAGGAGGATCAGCCTCTTTTTTCTATCCTCCTTTCCTTGAAAAAATCAAATTTTAAATAAAAAGGTTCCTATAACTTTTATTGTATAACTTTGCTTTTACTCTTTTTCAGAGTCTTTTCTAGTATCTCCCAGAGAAATATTGACAATGATGTCATTGAAAATACTTCAGATTTGAAAGGTAGAACAGTCAGGAAAAATGGAAAGACAACGTCTTCAAATATTCACCATGCAATGATCCAACTGTGATTGTACAACTTCCTGCTCAACACTCTTCATCTCCAACTTGGGAACCTGCAATTTCACTTCATCTAAAATTCTTTTACATTCTTGTAGGCGCTGTTCAAAGTTGGCTGGCTTCTGAAACAAGCGAAACTTCATGGACACATCCTGCAGCTTTTTCTGAAAAGTAAGCATGGGTAAATAGTAAATGTGCAATCAAATCAACACTGAAGACAAGTCTTAGACCTGTCTCAGAATACTTAGAATCCCTTATCAATCAGCAGTTTCTTATTTAAAGAATTTGAAACTTTTGGGGAAAATACCAGCAGCAGACAATCTTGGTCTTCACAGGAGTAAAAAAACTCTTGTATCATCCAGGGCACTGGATGCAGAAAAGCCAGTGACAAAAGAGCCCATATACTCAACTGAAGAAAAGGAAAGTTTTTGTATTTTCCAATATGCAAAATATTGGAGGGTACGGTGAGAATGGAGATTTAATGGCTTAAGCATAACACATTTACATTCCATGAGTGGCTGCTCATCAACTCTGCTGTGTTGCTGTTTGGTATGAAGAGTGAATCTTTAGTCCCTTAAAGAAACTAAATAAAGTGGCTGGGCTGTAAGTAGGTCTAGCAAAAAACCCTCAGATTTAAGGTATAATATTGACTTCTATTGCAATTTAAAAAAGCATAATCTAAAGTATAAAGTAATTTATAAGCAAAAAAATCTATGACAAACATGGCTTCTAGTTTAATAATTTTTGCAATTTGTTACCTTTGTGCATTAATTATATTGCTTGCTCACAGGATCCCTACCTCAGTGGGAGAGGAAATAACGAAAAATAAAGCAAAGAAAGGGCATTTTAATTATTTACTTGAATAACAACTAAATTCTCTGTAAAAGTACAGAGCAAAGTAATAGTAGAATAAGTTTTTCACTGTTTGGGAAAAAAAAAAGAAAATATCACTAAGAAATGGATAAATAATTAAATAGGAACTCAGCATCTGCACACACTTTTGATTTATTTATCTTCAAATCCTGCACACCTTATACCAATACAGTGTTGTCCATACTATATACAAACCTGAAAAAAAACCCCCAACCTGTAATAAGGAATAGAATTAGCCTAACATAGGCATTAGTAAAAATGCTTCCCACATCAGATTTCTGTGAAGGAGGCAGGAATCATGAGCAGAGGACTATTCTGGGTAACACAGAAAGCTGTGTAAATTTCCAACAGCTCCTTCCAAAAACTTTCCTCATTAAATACTCTTAATGAAATTGGGATCCAACAGAATGAGAAAGGAAGTAAAGATAAATAAGTGAACAACTGAACAAAAATAGGAAACAAAGCGTGGCCTTATTATAAGTGGTCTTATTTTTATTCAGTGTGTTTGCATACACTAGATTCATGCTTAATTAGTTTTTCATCCTCTTGTGGCACTTCAACTTGATGAAGATAAAGTCCTGTGGGAAGCTTACAATGCCACATCAGTATCTGTTACAATTTGTGTTGGTCAATACATTAAAAACTATCTAGAAAAGAGAAAGAATGATAGTATTACTGGTAGAGTAAATTAAAGCCATCTGTGAAGGGTCACTGAAAGATTGCACAGTGCTGATGATCTGTAGGAAAAAACCAAGCAAATTATATTTAATTCATCCAAAAATTAAATAATAGACATCACAAAAAACCCACTAAGCTTCATATACAAGTGGGATCTAAATTATCTGTTAGCACTCTCGCTTGAGTTATAATAGATAACTCAAGTTATATTATATACTTATATTTATTTCTGACAGTTTAAAAAATAAATCATCTTAAAAGCAGCCAAACAAGCAAAGACGGTATTTGGAAAGTACCTGTCACAGTACAAAAGTAATTGCATAAAGCTATATTGTGCCTGAATAATGTTTGATCACCTCATCTCAAAAAAACTTATAGAAACTGTATAAAGAAGAATGACAGGACAATCAAAGCTATATATCAAAAGGTCTTAGTGCAATTTAACATACTAGTCAGTCTGGAAAAGAGACAACCGAGGAGAAGTAAAATTAGTGGTATGCAAAAAGTTGATTAGCAAATGATTGTTAACTGTTTCTCAAAATTCGTGAAGAAGGTGACACCAAGTTAAACTCTTATATAGGGAAACCAAAATGAAAAAAAGGAAAGACAATTTCACATAGCATTCAGTTAAACTGTGTAACTAGCTGTTAAATGAAGTTGAGTATTCCAGCAGTGTAAAAGATTTCAGAAAGTATCTAGACATGAGCTTTTAAATATCGCTGACCCAGAAGTTGCTTAGCTGCAAATCACTGGGAAGCATCACCAAAAGTTCACCTTACTGTACCTCGTCACTGTCTTCTGGCTACTGAAGATACGGATTTGGGCTAAATGGCTCTTTTGTGAGAAGTAACATGAGAATTCTTAAATACTTGAAAAGTGTAGTCAGCTGAATTTACTTCACATCAACAGTTAAATTGTTGGCAGTACTCGAACTACATTGTAAGTAGGCAAACCTGGCTCGTCTAGATAAAGAGCACAGCAACAACTTATGGGAGAAAAGGAAAGCCCACAACTAAGTAAGTATTATTCATTTTTGATTTGAGGAAAATGTCTTCTTTAGAAGCAAAGGATAAGTAGTTATTCAAAAGCAAAACTACAGGAGATTAAGTATTTTTAGAGATGTAACATTCTTTCAAATTTTATTACATAAAGTAATTTTAAAATATCACTAGGAATTAGTAATGTGGTAAGGGAAGGGAATCAACTGAGTATCTTTTTATTCTGACAGGTGTGTTTACGTTAAAAAGACAGATGAAAGTAATAAAGAAATAAGAATGACATGTCTATTATGTAATTTCTCCCTGCAAATAATTTACTATTGAATTTCCAAAAATAGCCCTTCCTCAGACAAGATTTCATTTTCATGCCTAGTAGGAATAACTAAGTCTTAAATCACTACAGCAGAAATAGATTTTTATTTTGCTAATCATCTTTATTCCCTTAAGTTTAAAAATCAGAATTTAACTCTCAATCTACAGCAATCTAAAAATCCTGGATAAATCTAGTCACTTACTAGCCATCTCACAATCTCATTGCAATTACTTGTTTTCATAATTGTTTATGTTCTGTCTGGGTAATTGAACTAATATTAGAATAAATATATGTCAAATAAGAAATATTACTTAGCACACACAAAAAAAATGCATGCAGTATAAGTGAGAATTCTCTTCAGGAAAAAAGTGAAGACAAATCTTGTGAAATGTGATTTAACACTAAAGGTACTGCACCATGATAGAAAAGAATCCAAGAGAGTTCACTGGCCTAAAATCAAATATAGTAATAAATATTTGGAACAAAGGGTTCCGCTTTTACCCTTTTTGGTAGTTGATATTTACATTTAGCATGTAAATTTGCTGTTTTGTTCAGATTTTATCTAATGTAAGCAAAACAGATTCTCAAAATTAATGCCACCAATCTGTCAGAACTCAAACTGATGCATATGGTCATCTAGAGAAGCCTTTCGGAAAAAAAAAAAAATCTGCACAAAGATGGATTAGGAAAAAAAAAAATAGAAAGGGTAGTGCTCCCTTGCATGCTGTTGAATTTGTAAACACTTAGATACAGAGTTGTCTGATGCCTGCATTTCACTGGTGAAATATGAGAAACATCACAGCTGCCATAGAGACCATCAAAAGGTGAGTTAGTGTGAAGGAAAACAGAAATATAAAGAAACATAAATATTCTCAACAAATAAAAACTAGTCTTGTAGATCAGAGGAAACATTTAAAAAAATTTCAAGTTGTTAATTTCAAGTTAATTAACTGCTAAAAGGCAATTAATATTATTGATACTAAAATATAAAACTGAAGCTAAGATACCTAGAAATACTTGAGATGAAGAAAAAGGTGGCCTTGTTTACTGTTAATACCATAGCAAAATCCTCTGTCTTTCCTAATGAATGATGACAATTTGTTTTGCAGCCTGGGGAATTTTGGCACTAACATTAAAAAAAAAAGCAGCAAAGCAGTCAAGAACCCACCACAGACTAATGGGTAAAAATGTGTATTGAACATAAGCATCAATTTCTTCTGCAATTTCAAAGAGGTCTTTCTATGTCTGTTAAGCTAGATTAAATAATGCATTAGCTAACATTTTAAATTGATGACTGCAACACACCGCTCAGCATGGATTTGTCTTTAAAGTGCAGTTCCACCAAATATTTCCAAATATTTTAAAATACTTTTAACTGTAAACATTTTCAAATAGCTCAAAAGTTGTACCAAAAAGCCTCACTGTAATTTTCTTGCAACAGCCACACATTCAAACCACCCCTTATACAGTGTCCCTACCAGCTGGTTACAGCAGCTCAGCGTACCCTAGAACTCTTGCCAACTAGGGAGAAAGGCTGTAATAAAAAAATGAGCAGTAAAAAGACATGGGTGGTATGCTTTGTGCACTCTAATTTCCTGGCCAGAAAGGAGCAGCTAAAACAGAAGAGATACCTTACGAACATTTCATACTCTAGTAACAGTACTACTCATGCTGTTTGTTTGCAAGAGTGAAGGAAAAATGGAGGAAATAAAACCTGCATACCTGTGCCACATCAATTTGGGAAAGCACTCTTTTGGCAGCATCTTTACCCCGGTTTCGTTTCTTCATTTCTTCCAAACTAATCTCATGGCTTGTTAATTCAGATTGTATTTTCTGTTGAAAAACAAAGAAAGTAATCCTCAGGGTTTGAAGAAAATGTTTATGTTGTTAATATTATTTGGAACAGCTGATTTCGAAAGATATTAAATAGAAGTACTGCGTTATAAACCGGATCATTAGAGGAAATTATTCAAAGAATTACTTGTTCACAACCCTGTAAATTATTCAGTTTAGTTTCTTTTGATCATAATAAAACCATCTTCTCCTGCTCAAACATATATAACTCTGACATTGTGACACTAATGACATAATCTTGCTAAGGAAATTGTGAATAAATTGTTGGGGAAAAAAAAAGTTGTTTTTTTTTTTGTTTCTGAAACAAAGCAACTATTTTCATTGTGAAGAAAATTTAAAATTAATCATAGAAAAGAAAAATACAAATAGAAAAGTGTTTTGCCTCATTATTATTTCTTATTATTTTCACAGTATCATCAGGTGAGTTGAGTGAAAACTGATCAAAGTAACCTGTATGTATAACATCTTCACCTCACAGAGTTGTGTTACATCTAAAACAGTACACCTTTTGTGCATATTACTGACCAGAATCTATGTTCAGTAGATATGCTAAATGCATAATGACATGTAGTTCATTAATACACTAACTTAATCCATTTTCTAACAAACACACATTTGTGGTTCTGTAGTTCTGCAAAACCAGTGTGCAATCAAATCATCACAAGAAAAATATCAGCCTTCTTGGTTCACCATAAATCAACCTTACAAGAAACAATTAACTTAAGCAGTGTTGGCTAGCGCAATGTAATGAAAAGAATTTCCATAAAGTATATTGATACAACATAATTTAGAGCAATTCGCATCTTTTTATGTTTAAATTGTTACAAAATGAGAAACTCTTATTAGCGGAATTGCTAGACAAGTACTACTGAGAACAATTACCCTAGGAAATAAAGACAAGGTATGTTCCCACCAGGAAAGGTGTTTGAGGCCATTACTCCTGCATCAAAAAGTGATTTTAGATTCAATCTTTTTTTTTCCTATGGTATACAAGCATTTCTCAGATACTCTAAAGACTACCTATAAGTTTAAATATATACCTTTATCTCACAGTACAGTAACTAGTAAAATATGAAAACTGTGTAGTTCAAAAGACTACAGAGAATTATGGAAATGAAAAAAGGGGTTTTTAAATTACAATTTGATCCGTTAAAGTTTGATTATAAGTAAAAATGAATATATAGGTATTTTTAATCATAGTTTCATAGGTTATTAAGCACAAAGCTGTGTACACTGTATGCTGCTTACTTTATAGCAGTATAACACGGTTATAATGACTTGTATGACATAACATTGTATTTTAAACTACATTGAAAGCATTTTTTCACAAGTTATATTGAAAATTTATTAAAGTGAATTTTAAGAGAAAGATATTTACAAAAATACAGAAAACTACTGTCATTACTAAATTGTAATTGTACTAAATTTAGTAACTGTCATTACTAAATTTAATTGCAAAAATATATTTGTAAGTCTAAACTATCCTGCAAAGCATTTGTAAAAGCAAAATGACTGACAGAAAGCTGTCAATTTAGATGAAATTTTTAATTTTAAATTTTCATAACTGTACATTTTCTGTTGTTCATACACTGAGTTGTCCTTGTCAAGGCTCTTTACTGAATGGCTAGCAGTATTTGGAGCAAGTAATAGAATTTTTTCTAAATCTGATATTTTAGTTTTGAGAAAATAAAGTTGGTCAATTAAAAGGACAATACAATCAACAAGCGTAGGTTTACTTAGTAGTTTATTTTGGAATGTTTGTGCAGCACATGGACCAAATTGTTAGTGGTGACTCAGCATTGGTTAGCTCCTGAAGCCAAATAATTTCTTGACATCTTGGAAGTCAGAACTGTATATACAAGGAAGAAGCAAGTCTGAATGTTAGAAAAATATACTATATCACATCCAGTATTTATTTCAATTGTTTGCTTCTGCACCTTATCAATTAACTGATTTTTGGTTGTGTTTTCCAGTTTACTTTGTTCAACCTCAGAGTCACTCTGGAAAGCATATAACTAAACAGTTCTTGTCTGAATAGGTCAGAACAGCACAGTACAGATAAGAGTAGTGTTTAAGCAATTAGGTATTATGGGATATTGCATGGAGATTGTTCTTTTGTCAATTTGTCAGTTTGCAAAACTTTTATTTATATACACACACTTATATATGTATATATAAAAAACCTAATTATATTTACAAGACCAAAGGCACTGATTGTACCTATCCTCACAAGGACAACTTCTAAAACAAAAAGATTTCAGTCCCAAGGGCATGTCATACATTATTTCTCTTAATTGCTAGTCTTAATTTTAAAAAGATGAACAGTTAAATGCAGAGTCTTGCTATATTGACAGCAAAAAGCAGAGAATTGGCAGTGTAGCCAGTTCTTGGCAGAAACCTTCCCTATCTTGAATTGTAGAAAGGAAAGCCAAAAAACCCAACACAACTATTTCCCTCATTTGAAAATTCTCACAAACCTAATTGCAAACTGATGTTTTGAGAACAGCATTTAGAAAAAATGTAACAGGGCATATAAACAAAGTCTGTAACATTACTTGCAACAGAAAACTGAACTAGAAGGCTTGATTATATGTCACTTCCCATCAATACCTGCTACCATAATTAGAAAATCAGTCGTCATATTTACAAAATGCAAAGAAATGCCAGTCAGTAATATTTAGCAAAATCATAACAATGGAGAGGATTTTTTTGGTAAAAAACCAAACAACCCACCACCACAAAAAACAAAACTCCACCCACCCAACCTTGTGTATTTAATTAAAAGTATTAGTTATAAAAGTGATTCAGTTATAACCAATGGATAAAAATAAAAAAACATAATATACATAGAACAAATATTGTGGAATAATGGCTGAAAAGACAAGATTAGATGGAGTGCACATCTAATATGCAAACACAAATTTTAGTATGAGTAACATTGAGAGGACGACACTACAAAAGCAGCTGACTGTTCCAGTTGAAGTAGTATCAGTAAGTTGAAAAAAAGTCTGAAAGACATTCTCGAAAACATACTGGTGCACACTATCCTCCAAGACATCTTAATTTCATGTTGCCAGACCTCATTATATTGTATTGTATTGTATTAGTTGCCAGAAATTCATAACACAGGGAGGAATTACTTTGCAATCAATATTGATTATACCACCAAGATCAGAAATTTGGTAAGTTCTCAAAAGCTGGATGAATCCAGAAGAAGAAAGATACAAGTGATACACATATTAACATGTTCCAAGATGGGACAGGGAATGCTGATGTTGAACTTGGAATGAGCAACAAATAGGTGAATCATTTCTTACGGGCATGCACTGTAATGAGAGTGGCCAATTTACTAGTCTCAATTTGATTTATAAACTTCCACAAAAAATACACTAAATATAACAAATTATAGTTCATTAAACACTCTGGCAGCAAAGGGATTAGGTTAAAATAAAGTTGTTAGAATTAAGCATGTCTTCCTTTTTTTTTTTTCTGATTTCTCTTTAAAGTCCTTTGCAGAAAAATAATTCACTAGTTTCCTGTTTACTAATTAAAACCTGAGTTATAAAACTCGTTCCTGTACAAAAAGGTTATTTCCATTCTGTGACAAAAAGGTGGCCAAATCTTCCAAGAGAAATATGTCCTATTTTCTCAATGGGAAGCTTAATGAAAGGCATCAAAAGGTTTTCCAGTCTAAAGCAGAGAGTTATGGAAACACCAGGTCATATACTAGAGACAGGTAGTTCCTTAAAGAGAGGACACTTGGATCTCTTGGGTTATACATAGTAAACAGAAAGACCTTTTTATACCTCTCTCTGACCTTGCAGGGTTTGTCCTTCCCTCACAAGATTTCTTTCCTGCCTAGCAACTTTCAGCAGCATCCTGAGCTATAGGCAGAATCTATGGAAAGTAGATGTAAGGTAACCCTGAGGGCTGGCTGTGGCACCATCCCCTGCTCTCTGAGGTGCTCCTGCAGTAGGATGCTGCATGCCCCAGCCCAGGGGTGATGTTCTTTTCTGTCCCACTGGGTTCTCAAAAGCTGCTCCCAGTTCAGCATACTATTTTGTGCTCAGATAGTTTTCCCCCTGATTTGGAGGATGCCAGAAAATAGATATACTGCTCCCTTCTCATAGATATTTTTTAAGCAAAACATGCTATGCAAAACATGCTATACAAAATAAATTAAGCAGTTATACTATCCTCTACTACATCCATGTTCATCTGTCCATCTGTCACATCCTGCAACAAAATGCACCAGGCTATACTAGTATTGGGCAATTGAATACTGTTTAATTCTCAAGAACTGAAAATTACATAGCCAGAGTAGTAAATCTTTCACCAGTGAGTGGTGGATCTGAAGACAAGGGCAATTACATTACCTTAAGTTTCTTCCACTGCTCATTCTAGGAAAACGAGGTCTAAATTTAGCCTGGAACACCACTTTTCTACTATGGATTTCATTAAGATCTACTGCATAAAAAGGCCTGGACTTGACAGCAACCCTATGAGTTCTGCAGTGGCTCAAGAAGATGAGGACAATATGACAAGATTCAGGCATATGGTGAACTTCAAATTGCTCTCTGCATTTTGTAAACTAATTCATTATGAATTCAAATTATACTAGATTACCTTTGTAATTAATGAGTCCTTCACATAACTCACAACAAAATGGCCTGGCTATGAATTTGCAGATTTGGCTCTCTTGAGTTGCAGAGAACACCTTGACAGCTCTTCTTGGTGTATGAGGTTCTCTGATTTGTATTTCTTTAAATACTGCTTAGCTAGCCTAACACCTTGCAAGAATGGTGCTCAGTTTAACGTCATTTTTGCTTATTTTTATGGTTGCTATCAATACCTAAGGAGTCAGATCTCAGCCTAACATATGGAGAAAATAAAACATTTAGAGAGCATTCTGGTAATCATTATAAATGGAAAGATCATGATTCTAGCAGATGTAAAAAACATATCTGAAACAATTTCAGAACTGTTAGTGTTTACCTTTGAAAACCTGAAAGGATAAACCAAGTACCAGAAAATTAGAAAAGTGAAGGTGAAGTACCCATTTTTAAAAGCACAGAAAGGGTACGTGCCAATGATGTCACACCTTTGCAAAAAAAAAAGAGGAAAAACACATAATACATACAGAAGATGATGTTATAGCAGGAATAGGAACAACATACGTAGTTTTAGACACTAGTCTTCAAGAGAGAGTAACTGAAGATTCCAAATGAGAAGAGCAAATCATCAAAGGATAGAAACATTATTGACAAGGCAAAGCTGAATAAGTTGGACATGACAAAGACAGTTTGTGCAGTTAAAGCACAGTTAATGCAGTGTTCAGATGCTATGGAGATGTGTAGGTTGTGAGAACCTGTACAGTACAGAAATCTGCATAGATATTCTAACTTAATACATAACAAAATGTAAGCTTACACTTCTGAATAATGCTTATCAGCTATTTGCTCTTTGACCATTGATCCACACATGGCTGAAGAAAATAATTCTCACAATTTTCAGCAGAGGAAAAGCGTAAATACCTTTAACATTAGACATTTTACTAAGTAGACAATTGTGAATTTCTCCCAATATATTTGCTTGAAGGCAATGAAGCATGGCATTATTCTTGTCAAGTAATACATTGCACGACTGAACAAGTCTGCCATTATATCATGACATTAACTCTGGCTTTGAACATAGCACAACAGTATTTTGATAACAGATTAATAACCATCTTCACCTAGAAAACAGTCAGGTGTGTAGTGCTTATCACTACAGGAGTGAAATTATTCAAGGAGTTCACTGAAAAGGCAACATACATTACTTTTGCTTTTCTCAGAAACACAATATTGTTAATTCATTATCCACATTGTATTTTACATGAGTCTACAGGCAGAACAACAGACAAGCCATTTGTAGCATGCAAGTAAGAAGTGAAATAAGCGTATTTTCTGTCCAGTAATATAACCCCTCCATGTAATCACTCACACCAAACAGATGTACTAATTGGAGATTCTCTCTTCCACCAGAAGCTATTTAATAACAAAGCTACAAATAATTATCTGAAAAATATTTTGCCATATAAATGTAATATTTTCAGTACAGATTTATTTGCTTCCTGTCAGTTGAAGAGTACTTGAAAAAAAGTCAGCAACTCGCAAATTCCTGTGTTGATAACTTAATCCCCTGTATTTTCTTGATAAATTTAGAGAAAATAAGGAGACTTCAGCTGGGATCATGAGATCAAGCATACAAACAAATAATTTTTCCTTCTGGAATATTGTTTTAGACTTTACCTCGTTCCAGCTTTTTTTATTATTACACCTTGAGGAATCTGAACTGATTTATCTGTTCAATTGTTGTTAGATTGTTTTGTCTGCATACAACATTTTTGGTTGTACTCAAAAGGAGTTGGGTGACAGTGGCTCTCTAGCATTAAATTCTCAGTGCCACATGGTGGAGTAAGAAGCACACAGAATTTACATTCAAAAAATGATCCAAAGGAGAAGTTGAACAGCACATACTTAACTCCCTTTTCTTTCTGTCAACTTTCTGAATAAACTAAACTGATCATTTTGCTTAGAAAGAGGAGTTAAATATAATTGTGTTTACTCAGATTCATTTCCAATCAGTTGAACCAAAGATTATTCCTCCTAACAATGCTCTAAATGGATTTGAAATTTTGAAGCAAACATGCAGAGCTCCCAAACTGTCAACAGCTTTTTGATTACAAGTTCTCCCATATGATCTTTTAGAAATACAACACATATTGCTGAACAGTTTGTTAAATCCCTCAGCATGGATAAACTGACCCCTGCCCTGAAACCAACATCATTGACTGAAAGATTCCCATTCCAGCTGTGCAGATACTTCGTAGGGTATCTTATATTAATGAACTGTTTTCAGCTGTACAAAAGAGCTGTGCCAGCAGAAGCTCCACAAGAGCTGGCTGGCATGGCCATTCACTAAAGGAATGACTCAGTATACTTACCTGCATAAAACTGATTGTTTATTCCCTTTCCCTCTAAGGATTTTAAAGAACTTCATGACTGAACTTCAGAGAACTTTTGCATTAAACCTGTTCAGTTGTTAATTAATTTTTTTTTCTTCAGTCCTACTGGCATCTTAAAATAAAAACATGAAAGGGAAAAACTCAGCAGCATCTATGCTGGTTTTCCCATAGTGGATATAGTATAATCAGGTGAACTTGACATCAAGACAGTAAAATCTCAAGAACAAAAACAAGCTCTGCAAAAAGCGCTGAGCTGAAATTTTCCCATGAAAGTGTGCTAATTAAGGTTGGTTAAGTTTTGTGCTGCTTCAGTTGCTGAAGTTCTGAATTATGTCCTTTTACATTCTGTAATCATTGCCAACATTGTACCTGAGGACACACATAAACCAGATGTGCCCATGGGGTATATAAAGCACCACCAAAAATTGCTACAAGGTAAGTGTCCAAACACACCAGAAAAAAAAGCACGCTTTCATATAAAATTTTTCTTACATATTAGGGTTATGTAATTACAAGATGAGAAATTAAACTGATACATCTTTAAAAAATGCTGATTGTATCCTATTTCATAAAAAAATGTTTGCATCATTCATATTTCAAGGAAGGAGAAAAATAATTCAAGAGAGTAATCTGATAGCTATCATAGTTTAGGATTCAAACTGAAACAATAATTCATCTGAATCTGATACTATTCTTATACTGACGTAAATTAGAACCAAATAAATTTGAATCTGTTTCAAATAGGACTGAATGTAAATATGACCCTGTTTTCTAAATATAACTTTTTTTATTTCATACACACACAAATAAAAATATCTGCATGTAACTACTAACACACACATACATGAAAAGCAACGGAAAGGTACATCTATCCACATTTTAATTCAAAAGCCATGGAAACCTTTATTTTTAAAGGAGAGAAAACATGATTTTCAGGGCTACATATATTCAGCTCTGAATATATTTAAGATCATAGCCTATACAAGACACTAATTTTAGAATGATATAAAACTTTACAGACATGCCAGAAAAAAACACAATTGACTGTCTCTTTTAAAATCATTATAAAGCATACGTTTTCAATTTTCCTGTAGCCTTTTTTGTTTGTTTGTTTACTTTTGTAATCTGACTTCCTAAATTTAGGTGGAATTTATAGTAAAATTGCTGTACATAATATTGTAAACTATTAATAACTTTATACCAGAGATGTTTGGTTTTATTTAATTTGTTTTATTAATGCTACCGTAAAGCAGATGTTACAGAGGAAAGATTGCAAGAATAAAACAATGAGAATCAGATGTACATTTTTATTTCAAAGGCTCAATAAACCATTTCTAAAAATAGGAAAAACTGTTTCTGTTAAACTTGCATGAACTGTAAAAATTGAAATATAAGTACATTTTTGCGTATAGCATGAAATAATTAACAATGTGTCTATGTTTCAATAATTTAGTAATAATCCCTAGGCCATGAATCAACTTTGTAAAAAAGCCATCTAAGAGTAGTGAGGATGATGAGTTTCTTCTTTCTAGGATGGGAACTAGATTTTAGAGTCACACTGTTTATCTTTGTCATTTAAAAATTACTGCATAGTCTTCCATGACATTTATAGTTCTTTACATCTTCTGATGTATATAATATAGTTTTATATTATATACAGGTATATAATAAAAATCAGAAGGAAAATATGACTTTACTAGAAGATTAGCTTGAACTTGCCAAAATAATCCTACCTAAAATTTACTTGCACTTTCATACTGATCATGTTGCAAATCCCTGTTACTAATATGAGGCTGAGGGACAACCAAACACACTTTGGTTGATTGAGAAAACCAGTAAGCACATCAATTCAACCTCTGTATAACTTACCTGGGCTTCCTGAGGGACCTGTGCGGCATCAACTCTGTCTGCAATGTAGGCTGTTAGCTGTTTGTCAATAACAGCAAGAGACTCTTGGATTAAGCGGAGGGTTTTGTCAGTCTCCTGGGCAGACTGAATACTCTGTTCAAGACTCTTTTGTCTTCTCACAGCCTAAAAACAATGACAATGTTATCAATATTCACAGTAATAATGCATATAATACATTTTTCCCCACATATTTTTTCTCCCAAAAATGCAGGCTAAGAATCAAAAATAGTCCTCCTGACTTGTGCTCATCCACCTTTTTGTATGATAAGTTGCGCATCTTTTTGCCACTCATTCAGTTCTTTTATATAAGACACAAACAGATTGCATAGACAAGTTCTAAAAAATGTAGGACCCTGAAAAACCAATGCATGCATTGAAGATTTCTATGCTGAGTGAAAGTTGGCAAAGCTGCATAATAAAACCATCCTGATAGTGCAGCCTTTCATTCTGAGGCATAGCTGTCCTCTTGATCCTATTATATAATTCAAGAGATTTTGTTTCCTGAGAATAGGGTTACTGTCATCACAATCCCATCCAAGACAATCCACTTCAGTAAGTGAGAGGGATAAAGACACTCTTGAGAAGAAGCTCTCTTATACGAAGTATAAATAGCTGTCTGGAACAGAGGCAATGCCTACTCTGGAAAAAAAAAAAGAGACCAATCGTTGTCCTGTCGTGTCTTGTCTGTTGATTTGCCCAATCTATTATCACTCTAACCATAGTGTCTTTTAGCCTAGGAAGTCGACTTTTGCTTCTACCCTACCACCAGTGCCACAGTGGGTTGCCTACCATCAACTTGTACACAATCCTGTTTTCGAGAAAGATGTGCTCCTTTCAAAGGAGCTCACTTTACGGTTTACCAAGCCAGAACAATAAATTATCCTTCCAAGTTGTCCTTAAGACACACGTATATTTAAACACTTGACATGAACACGGTAGCTTTAACTACTATTTGTAACAGTTTAATATGATATTTATCAGGTAATAAATAACCTGGTACTTTCTTCCATGTCACTGTGTCCACCTCCAGACTCATATTTTACTTAGACTACAGCTTCTGCCTACCAGAGTTTCTGCTTTATACACAGCACATAACAATTACCAACTATCTCAACTGCAATACAATTTTACTCTGTACAAGCCCAGCCATACTGCTGACCACAGAATAAAGTGACTAACTTTCTTTGACATGAATCGAAGAAGAAGGGAGAAAGCAAGCACACTTTAAATAACATTGCTAGGTTTCCTGCCATTTTTCAAGTCAAATCACACTTCTTCTCTTTGGTGAGCCAGCTATACTTTAATTTTATTTCATACCTATTATGAAACTCTTGCCTTGAGCAAAAATAGCTCTCAGCAATTCAGTGAGAATATTTGATGTATCTGTATCTTCTTCATGGAGCTCAGATTCTTACAGAGCTTCACATTTAACAAATGAAAAAGGCTATTCCTTGTAAGCATTCTTGCTAGCTGTTTGACTTAGTTAAAGGATAGGGATCCAACCAGTATTTACTATATTTGTGTTTGTAAGCTGCTTTGTGCTGTTTCAAAACAGCTGACCAGATAAACTTGTATCACTGCCAGTTCCAGGAGCCTTCTGTGGAACTGAGCAGCGTTACATATCAGACCCATGCTGTTAATGTTAATGGAAGTACCTGAGCCACTAAGGTATTATCACCCTACCAAATGAACCATTAAAACACTGTAACTTCACGGTACAGTACTAAGATTTGCTACTTAAATGACTTTTACCTTCATCTGATTTGAGATTTTATATTACAATGTTCTCAGTCTGTTCAAAGCAGTAGGGTTAAAAACCACAGCTTCCACTTACCTTGGCACTCCTTACTACTTATTTGTAAGCCTGGCTAAGATACAGTTACTCTCTACCTTTGCATTTGCAACACTATAGAGTAAATTGAAAGACACATTAGACTAGAAACAGGGTAGTAGCTTTCTACAGCCCATGGGTTTAAAAGTTAAAGTTTTCTTCCATACAGCACGGAAGAAAATCTCTCTGCCTTTACTTAACTCTTTGCATAACTGGTAGGACTAACCTACATGCATAGTCCATTCATACTGAGGGCTGCAGTGTCCTGATGAAGCTCACCATTTAAAATAAGTCACTGAGAAAGTTCCATGCTTATTAGTCATTAAAATAAGTGCCTGGCACTTTCTGCAGAATTCAATATACTGGACACAAATTTGATGCTAAGTCCTTTTGAAAAAAACTATTTTTATAGCAATACTTGAAGCTTTGAACCTTTGTTAAATGCTGACCCATGCTAACAACTATTTGCAGCTAGTCCCTTGCTTAAGCATAGATAAATTTACTGCCAGCCTCAGGAGAAGCCTGTATGCATGCAATGAAGTAGTTATCACCACATGGAAACTCACAAAAAGTCTTAAAATTGTATGACAAATATGTGGTGACTGAAAAATTGTCATCTCTGTGCTGGTATCAGCAGAAACTATGTATATCAAACAAAACTATATATGTCAATATTAGAATACAATAGGGAAAATTAAAACATCCCCAAACTCATCAATCAAATATTAAAGCAGGTAAAGTTAAGAAAGAATTACAACAAATCCTTGCCTGAGTCTGACTGGATTTTTGTGGGTGGATTTCAAACAAATATGAATTCAGACAAATATATATTCATGCTTGCAATATCTTTATGTGCACACAAAGTAAATGTGTACACACACACACAGACAAAACATTCCCCTTTTCTTGTCCTCAGAGAGAATTTGATTACAGCCTGAGAACCTGTATGACATTTTCTAGCTTCCAAGTGTGGTGAAGGTACATCTTTTCCAAAAACCATGAAGAGTTTAGAGGAATGAATGGATGATATCAGACCAAGATGAGAGTGCAATGTGCAAGAGAGGAATTATTTTGGCAGCAGGAGCAGAACCACACAGCCAAATAAGCTGGGAAATGGCACTTTCACAATTGTGATGCTTTTCTCAGATACAAATGGGTGCTGCTTTAATTTTTTTTTCTGTATTACCTACTAGGAACAGACCCCGTCCTGCACACTCACCTAAAGTCAAGCCTCTACCCTCACCCTGTTCAATTCACACAACAAATGTAACATAAAGGTCTTCACTATAATCTTATAAAAGGTACAATATACCCATATAACGTAAGATATTTCTCCAGTTCAAAACAACTGACTCAAAAACCTAATCCTGTTCACTAAGTAGGTCCCTGGCACTATCACTGGCATTGCAGAATACTTATCAACTCATTCAATATGGAGAAGGCTTCTTCCGCTCTTTCAGTGGAAAAGAGAGCTTCTGATTGAGGTAAGCGTTAGAGGGCTTTATGAAAAGGGGTAGACATATTACACACTTACATCTGTGAACCTGAGCTTCAGATTTGTCCTTAAAACACATATGTCTGTGTACGTGAAAAACTATATATGCATATTTTTAAAAGACACGTGAAAGTTGAAATTGTATATATCTACAAATTTTTTCTCTGAAAGATTTTTGTTTTTTAATTACTCTGTGGAAGAAAGAGAATGTTTAACACTGCAGTGTATAAATGGGTCTGAGGACCTAACAGGAAGCCCTAGCTCTGCTATCAGATCATAGTCAATAAAACTGAAGGGTTTTGTCTCTAAAAGGAAGTGTCTGACAGTTAATTGCTAAATAGGAAATCTCAGGAAAATAACCAACTGTTTAATTATTTCTGAGCCAGTGAAATGTTGACAGCTGTTAAGGAAAATAAAAACAAACAAAAAAATCTGCTGTTAGGCACTATCAGAATGAAAGAGAAAAGAAAAAAATATTTATGGACTGAATTTTTTATTAAAGTGTCTTCAGGTTTTAGAGATTTTTAGGGTTTTTTTATGATTAAACATAACATTCAATTTTTATGATATGAGGTATTGCATAAATCTGTTTACAATTTAACAAAGATAAATGGCAAATGCAGGAAAAGGTAACATTGCATATTATCCATATAAAATGTCATATTAAGGGAAAGGTTGCACTGAGAGGTGATCAAATATCAGCAAAGCTGCAGGTGCTCAAACAGTTGCTTATGGTTATAGCTCATTCTTTGACATCGAATGTTATAAAGCTATATTTATAGATATTACCACTTTTTCCTTAAATAATACATCTTATGTATTTAATGACATTAGTCACACATGTAGTTACGAAGACATTCGTTAGAGTTTTATGGTTAAAATGAAGTAGAGTTTTGTTGTTGTGGCAGTACTCAGTAGTTGTGCTGTGGGAGAAAAAATAGAACAAAATCTTTCAAAAATTATAGTACTTTTACTACACTGTGCATGTATTTAGAATGCAGAAGCAAATTCATAAATTAGCTTGTAAGTTACAGCTCATGGAAAAGGGTCTGTCAAGAAAGGTAGAAATATGTTAGTTCTTTTCTTTGGCTCAGTTATACTCTCTATTTATTGAGAAATGTTACTGCAGGGTAAAGTTAAAAACTTAAAATTTAGAAAAATTTAACTTTTAAATTCCTTCATAACTTGTTTAAATTGCTTTAAAATATAACCTAATTTTTGGTGTTATAATGGTTATGTCTGAGATTTATTATAACATATCTGTACATTTTGCATCAAATTGTTAATGTGTTGATCTCCACTTTTTGTTTGGAATCAGAGTGGTTTAGTATTTAGACTTAAACTAGCAACACCTTTTCTAACATTCAAAACATTCTTTTTGGGACCAGGAATTTTTAATACCCTCCAAGCTAGCACAAATTCTTCTGCAAATTCTAGTAATATTTCACAGTGTGTTTTCAAAGTGGCTACAAATATCTGACCTCTCAGCAATAAAGTGATATTCATCTTTGATCAACTGCATTCCAAACCTGCAAACTATACCAAGGAGGACTTCATTATCTCTTTAGGTTATCACTGCAGACAGGTAGTGCCTCAGAACTTGTAAAAGCAGCCCTCTTAGCAACCTTCAAAGCAATCATGTGGGGATGGGGCATGAAGAATTCTTTCTCTTCTTGAGAGGAAAACAAAACAGAAAAATTGTGTCAAATGATGAATGGTGCTCTTTGACAGAAACAAAGGGTAATCTTGAGGGGAGTCCTAGAAGGAATTAAGAGACAGTACCCAAGAATAAAAATTGAATCTAGTGTAAGACCCTTCTCAACAACAATGTTTTATACAGTTTATTGCAAGCATAGTCTCAAGAATATCTAACTGACATTTTTTAATTTTGCTGCACAGGATGTAAATCACTTTCAGCATTACAGGGGATGACAGCCACTTGCAATATTAGCTTGAAGTTCTTCAG